ATATGCTAACTAACTTGGATATAAATTAAAAAATAAATAATTAATTAAAAAATAAATATGTCTGGGGTGCCTGGGTGGCTCAGTCGGTTGAGCGTCCGACTTCAGCTCAGGTCATGATCTTGCAGTGTGTGAGTTCAAGCCCCTCGTCGGGCTCTGTGCTGACAGCTTGGAGCCTGGAGCCTGCTTGGCATTCTGTGTCTCCCTCGCTCTCTGCCCCTCCCCCACTCATGCTCTCTCTCTCCCTCTCTCTCTCTCTGTCAAAAATACATAAACATTAAAAAAATAAAAAAAAAATAGATATGTTTAAGGAAAAATATTCAATAATTTTTCATGATAAATTTAATACTCTTTCTTTCTTAGCAAACAGAATGTAAAACACCTTTCTTAATTGATCAGGGTGACTTTGCCCCTCTAGGGAACATTTGACAATACTTTTGGTTTTTATAGATGTGAGGAGGCTAGGACACCGCTAAACATCCAATGTACATGAGAGCCTCCAACAACAGAGAATCATCTGGCCCCAAATGTCTGGTGCTGAGGTTGAGAAACCTTCGTTAAATCTAAGATTATCTTCCAAAATCTAAAGTATATGTATACAAAACTTAATGGTGAATCACTAAACTTGTTTCCTTTTTCAAGGACAAGGGCATGTTGTTATATAAATACTGTAGCAGAGACAATGCCAGTGCAATAACTCAATGGGAAAAAAAATGAGAAAAGAGCAGAAAAAAATAACTATACTGAATAATAAATGATTGTCTATATAAGAGTTTTGAAGGATTACTGATAGAATATGAACACTTAAAAATCAAAAGCATTACTACCTATGAGTCTCAACCTATTAGGAAATGTGATTTAAAAAATGTCATTCTTAAAATTAACAAAAACCATAAAGTACTTAAGAATAAATCCAACAAAAGATGTACTAAACTATTTCCTGGAGAAAGAAAATTTTATGGATAGATGGAAATAAAAAACCTAACGAAATGTTTGTGGACGTTAAAATTCAGTATTATAGGGGCGCCTGGGTGGCTCAGTCGGTTGAGCGGCCGACTTTGGCTCAGGTCATGATCTCGCAGTCTGTGAGTTCGAGCCTCGCATCTGGCTCTGTGCTGACCGCTCAGAGCCTGGAGCCTGTTTCAGATTCTGTGTCTCCCTCTCTTTCTGACCCTCCCCTGTTCATGCTCTGTCTCTCTCTGTCTCAAAAATAAATAAACATTAAAAAAATTAAAAAAAAAATTCAGTATTATACACAAATTAATCTACATATTTAATGCAATTATAATAAACACCCAACAAAGGCTTTTCACAGAATTGAACAAGCTGGATTATAACATTTATATTTATAAAAATAAAGACTTAAGGATAGATGAGAGACTCCTGAAGAAAAAAGTGATAGAGTTGCCCTACCAGATTTTAACTAGTTCTAAAGCAACAGGACCTAAAAGAGAATTGGGCAGGGCAAACAAATACACCAGTGGAATAGAACTGAGAACCCAGAAGAAGACCCCACTCCACCCACACCCCAGAAGTGTGGCATTTCACAGAGGATTCATTTCAAAACAGTGGAAGATGATGAATTAGTCAATATATGAACTCCAGATTTAAGATCTAGATGTGAAAAACAGCAACACTATAGTATTTTACAAATAAAATATAAAATATCTATATTTGAGTAATAAGGAAGTGTTTTTTTTTAATTAAAAAATTTTTGTTAATGTTTATTTTTAAGAGAGAGAGAGAAAAACAGAGAGAGAGAGAAGAGAATGAGCAGAGGAGGGGCAGAGAGAGGGGAAGACACAGAATCCAAGCAGGCTCCAGGATCTGAAGCTGTCAGCACAGAGCCTGACATGGGGCTCGAACTCACAGACCATGAGATCATGACCTGAGCTGAAGTCAGATGCCCAACCGACTGAGCTATCCAGGTGCACCAGGAAGTTTTTTTTTTTTTAAACTAGATACTAAAAGATGAAGCCATAAAGGAAAACATTAATATATTTTTTTTATTATTAATTTTTTTTTCCAACGTTTTTTATTTATTTTTGGGACAGAGAGAGACAGAGCATGAGCAGGAGGAGGGCAGAGGGAACCTGGGAATGGGAAACAGGCTCCAGGCTCTGTGTGTATCAGCCCAGAGCCCGATGTGGGCTTGAACTCACGGACCGCGAGATCGTGACCTGAGCTGAAGTCGGACGCTTAACCGACTGCGCCACCCAGGCGCCCCTATATTTTTTAACATTAAAAGAACTAGCATGTGACAAAGACAAAACTTATAAAGTTAATGGACAAGCCACAAACTAGAACTCACAAAATTCATACATGAACTCAAGAAAAAGATAATAATCCCCAATGGAAAAAAATAAGTAACCCCACTGGACAAAGGATATGAAGAGGCACCTCAGAGAAGAAAGTAGAATGGCAAATAAATACATGAAATGTTAAATCTTACCAATGATTAAATAAAAAAACAACATACTATTTCATAATAACATTGGCAAAAATGTAAAATTAAAGGGTTGGCAGATTATGGAGAAATTGCAGCTTTCATAAACTGTAGCTAAAGTGTATATTTGGAAAGCCATTTGGCAACATTTAGTCAAAGATGTCTATACTTTATAATGTGAAATTTTACTTCTATGCATATATTGTAGCCTAGACCAAGTTAGTGTGGTAGGGACCCCTCCCTAAGGAGAGAAAAAAAAAAGAGAGAGAGAGAGAAAAGGAAAAAAAAAAAAACCCACAAAAAACAAGGTAACCTGGCTATGTGCCTATGTGACAACATCCCTCATGACGTTGTAAACTGAGAACACTTAATCAGACCACATGTGTGTGTATGTTACCATATATGGGAGACAAAGAAATAGAAAATGCATAAAAAACCTATGCTACATGTTTGGTGCTCAGTTTTTGGGTATGAACCCAACTGAGTGGTGCCGGCATGAATAAAATTGCTTTCTGGAAATTAAAAAGCCTCGGTGCCATGACTCTCTGAGTGAGAATCCTGCTACAGCAGGAGAATACAAAATTTTTCCAGTGGTACATAGGCATGAATAAGTTTAAGAGTATTAATTTTTTTTCTTATAAGTTTATTTATTTATTTGGAGAGAGAGGGAGAGAGAATGTGAGTGCGTGAGCAGGGGAGGAGAGAGAGAGAGGGTGAGAGAGAAATCCCAAGCAGGCTTCGCGCTGTCAACACAGAGCCCTACGTGGGGCTTGTACTTACAAACTGTGAGATTATGATCTGACCTCAAATCAAGAGTCAGATGCTTAACCAACTGAGCCATCCAGGTGCTCCAAGAGTATTAATTTTTAGATTCTAACACATGTACTCCTTCCTGATTTGATTTGTGAATGTGTCTGCGTACTATGTGTCTGTCTTCTTTTCATAACTCTCCTTTCACAATTACCCTTCTCCTTCACAATGAAAGACACACTTCTCAATCATCCTGGATCTGTTATAGTGCTTTGTTCGGGAATATAAATACCAACAGGGCATGAAACAATTCAAGAAGGCAATGCCCTTAAAAAATAGGAGATAGCAAAGCAAAAAGAGTTTATATAAGAAATATTAAAGAGGAGGAGTGCCTGGGTGGCTCGGTCGGTTAAGTAACCAGCTCTTGATTTTCACTTGGGTCATAATCTCAAGATTGTGGGACTGAGCCCTATGGCAGGCTCTGTGCTGACAGCTCGGAGCCTGCTTGGGATTCTTGCTCTCCTGTCTCTCTGCTCCTCCCCTGTTGTCTCTCTCAAAATAAATAAACTTAAAAAAAAAAAAAAGAAATATTAAAGGGGAGATGGTCCCTTATTTCATAGAGGGAACAAAATAAGTTACATGATCGTCACAGGAATACATACTAACTCATTCATTTGAACTTAAACATTATAAAAATACTAAAGGTCAGAATTTTCTAATAGAAACAAAGTTTTATTTGGCTGACTAATTTTGTTAACTGAGTTCTAGAGCAGACATTTTCCATCCTTTTTTTAAAAAAGATTTTTTTTAAGTTTATTTATTTTTGAGAGAGAGAGAGAGAGAGAGATGGAGCGTGAGAGAGAGAGAGAGAGAGAGACAGAGCGTGAGTGGGGGTGGGTGGCAGAGGGAGAGGGAGACACAGAATCTGAAGGAGGCGCCAGGCTCTGAGCTGTCAGCACAGAGACTCACGTGGGGCTCAAACTCACAGACTGTGAGCAGTCTGGGGCTCCCTGGGGCAGAGCAAGAGAGAGAGAGAGAGAGAGAGAGAGAGAGAGAGAAGTAAGGCTTGATCCCATGACCCTGGGATCATGACCTGAGCCAAAATCAAGAGTCAGCCCCTCGACTGAGTCACCCAAGCACCCCACAACACTTCTTCTTAAACGAAATATACAGCTACAAAGTTTTATAAAAATGTATCTAAAACAAATCTACAATACTCCACAATATATAATATTCCTACATTATTTAAAATTTCAGGGGGTCCTGGGTGGTTCAGTTGGTTAAGTGTCTGACTTTGGCTCAGGTCATGATCCCACAGTTTGTGAGTTTGAGTCCTGTGTCAGGCTCTGTGCTGACAACTCAGAGCCTACAGCCTGCTTCAGATTCTGTGTCTCCCTCTCTGTCTGCCCATCCCTTACTCACACTCTGTCTCTCTTTCTGTCAAGAATAAGCAAACATTAAAAAATTAAAAAAATAAAATTATGACAAATTTAAGGTGTCAACTTAAAAATGAGTGAGACTATTTATAATTTTTCAGAAAATTTTTAGAGGCTGTAGAAGAAAAAACTTTGAAGACCACTTTCCTAGACAAACTCTCACACAATACATACAAGAGCTAGATGTTCACTGCACTCTTGATTACAGAAAAAAACTTAAAATGTCCATCAATAGGGGAATATACACTGATATAATGGAATATTATAAAATATTAAAAGTGAATTAGATATACTAGCATCAGCATGGTTTAATCTCTAAAAAATAATGTTGAATAGAAAAACTAGATTATTTACATAGTGTTTAAAAACCACCCAAAGTAATACTACCTATTGTTTAAGGACACCTACATGTGTAGAAAAACCATAAAATGATAGGAAAGACATTCTGGTTATATATTCTGGATATATCTGAGGAGAAAAAGAGAGTAAGAATGTGGGGGCAAGGAGACTTTACCTGAATTTCTCATATTTTATTTCCCCCTATTAAATGAACTTAAGTAAATATGGCAAAATGTTAACATCTGTTAAATTTAAGTGGTAGCTACATGGCGATTATATTATTATTTGTGCTTCTCTGTGGTTGAAATATCTCAGAAATAAATATTTTACAAAATCAATAGAATAGATGGAAAACCTTCTAAGATGAAAATTACTTACAGGCCAAGGTGGTGGAACAGAAGTTACCTCTGGAGTATGAAAATAAGCAACACCATTATGATAAGTGTAAGGATATCCAGTTGAAGTTGTTAGATACATTGTTCCAGCTGCAGGCATTATACTGGAACCTAAAGCAAAGATTAAATAATAACAATAACTAAAATGTTCAATTTTCTTTTAAAATGGTAATTTCTGAACATTTGAAAATGTTTATCTTAACACACCTATATAGTTATGGTAAAAATTGAATGTTGCAAATTAAAAAAAAATTCCATACGTTAAAGTATCTTTGAAATATATGTTTTCCAACTTACTATCTTAGAGCTTTTATTACTTTAAGGTGAATAAGAGAAAAAGAAACAAGTTCAAAAAAGAATACTAAAAATTAATTAACTTAGATTTTAGTACCAATGTAACGAAACAAAGCTTAACAATTTAAATTATTATCAGAAAGGCCATTATTTTTATAAATATAAATTATAAAGTTAACTGAAGACTATAGACACTATAATAAATTTCCTAAGACCTTAGTAAGACCTTTTATTTGTAAAAGGCCAAAGATGATGAAATCAGTGAGGTTGGAAAAGATTCCATACTTTCCTGAAGGGATTTTGGTTCTACCCCACAAATTCTTTGGATCTACTCTCACAAGAATTCATTGACACTGTAACTCTTATTCTCTAGCTTCCCTTTGCTGTAACTGCTGCTGTTGCAAACATAACCACAAATCTTCCATGTGGCTAGTTCTGGGTCCCCATCTCTTTTCTCAGATCAAGTTATTACACTCCTCCCCCCAAATTAAAAAATATGTATGTTTTTGTCAGGAGAACACTTGGAAAATTTATATAAGCCAAGTTAGATTAAGTACTTGACCAGCAAATTTATGTAAGTTATTGGAACTGGCAATCCTTCTTCCAGTATATCAGTGATTCTCAAAACTTAACATACATTAGAATCACCTAGATAGCTTATTATCCAGGGCCACATTTGCAGAGATTTAGATTCAGTAAGTCTGGGATAGGGCCTGAGGATTTGCATTTTGACAGATTCCAAGTGAACTGTTACTGGCTACAAACCACACTGTGAGTAGCACTGGCCTACCATTTTAAGCAGCACTACTGCTTCTCAGCCTTTATATTTTCACTGTATTTCATCTAGAGTTGTTACTGCTTACTTTAGTGATTCTTAATCCCATCCTTTTGAGAATCTGATTAAAGTCATGGAGTCTTTTCTCAGAGATATATATAGAAACAAAATTTTGCACACAATTCATGAAGTTCATGGATTTGCCTCCAAAGACAATCAAGGAACCACAGGTTTATCTGCTAAATGAATGAATGAATGAATGAATGAATGAATTTTAAGTCAGTACAGTTACAGGGCATTGAACTTGGCTGGTGATACAGCCAACAAGAAAAAAGAAAAAAATTGGACATACTGTATTGAAGTTAGGCTCTTGTGGGAAAGATAGTTATTAGGTAACTAGACAATTAATCAATTAAGACAATTTTGATAAATACATTAAGACGTAGTATAGTCTATTATACTAGGTAGTATGAATGTTCCAATTGTATTTAATTTGTGAGGAAATGATGTTTGGGCTGAGCTTTAAAGAATGAATGGGATTTTGGGGCGCCTGGGTGGCGCAGTCGGTTAAGCGTCCGACTTCAGCCAGGTCACGATCTCGCGGTCCGTGAGTTTGAGCCCCGCGTCGGGCTCTGGGCTGGTGGCTCGGAGCCTGGAGCCTGTTTCCGATTCTGTGTCTCCCTCTCTCTCTGCCCCTCCCCCGTTCATGCTCTGTCTCTCTCTGTCCCCAAAATAAATAAAAACGTTGAAAAAAAAAATTAAAAAAAAAAAAAAAGAATGAATGGGATTTTAATGGAATGGCAAAGAGCATTCTAGGTAAATAGTGTATATTAGGAGTACGGTATGTTCTGGAACTGAGATGAGGCTAGATGGCTAAAGCATGGGAAGAAAAATAAAGGACAGTTCAAAAATAAGCAGGAAATAACTTAAGATGTGCACTTTTGAAAGATTACTCCGGCTTCCTTGTGTATGATAGGTTGGAAGGTACCAAGACTGGATTCAGAAAGACCAGTTAGGAGGCTTTTCCAGTAATCAAGGCAAGGAAAGTGGGTAGCTCAGACTAGAATGTTGGTAATGGAGATGGAAAAAAAAGCAACAGATCCGAGAAAAAATTGAGATAAGAATCCCCTGTATCTTGAGAATCTACTTTTATACTTAATATTTATTTGCAGAAAAGTATAATGAGCTTTGGAGTCAACCTGTCCTGGATTTGAAGGCTAATGCCACTATTTGGTTATATAGTTACTTAACCCTATACTTTTCAAATTCACCACCTGATTGAAAGTATTCAGCATAGTGATTCATGGTTTTTTTTGTTTTTTTTTTTTTTAGCAACTTGTGGGTCATAATGTGAACATTACTACTTATACCTACTGCTGGTGATAAAAAATGGTTACTACGTGTCAACAGCTTAATTCTTGGAACAAGAAAGAAGTATTAATCTACTGAGGACACTTCAGTTATCTTCTAAATTAACAAATAACTAAGTCAAAATTAAACCTGATTAACTTCTAAATTAAAATAGACCACCCAAATGAGTACAACTATTAATTTGTTAACAGATGTACAATAAACACCTAATGTTTTACACATCCCAGTGGACATTAGGACACAGCTAAGGAAGAATAAGAAAATTCAGTTGTGAATTTTCTAGCCAAAGACTGTTATAGAGTTTAATAAATATTTAGGTAAAAAGCAAACTGTAAAGATGCCTAATACAATAAATAGGAAGATTGAGAAAAAAAGAAGAGTAGAGTTGAAAACCTTGCAGAAATTTGAGAAAGGCACATAATATAGCCAATTATTAAAGCTTTAGGAATTGTTCCCTCTGATAATTATGACACATCTAGTTGGGTTATAGTACCTACCATGCAACTAAAGTTTCTGATGTTGGTTCTTTATTTTTATTTTCAGTATTTTAAATTTAAATTTCTAATTTTAAATTACTTTTCTAATTATAAAAATTTCCAATTCATAATGCCAAATTACTTCTAATTACCTTTGTAATTTTAAATTATATTTTTATTTTAGAAGAGTTTTCCTTTAAAGATGTAATTATATGTAATATATGTAAGCACCATTATTTATGTAAAATTTTCCCTACCCCCTGAAAATCTAACATACATTAATTTGTAAGAAATATTCATTTGATCACCAACTTTGTTGAAATAACTTTATTAAATTAAAGAAGTCTGACCTTCTAATTAAATTCTAGAAAAAGTCTAATATTTCAAAAAAGAACCATGTAAAAATACTGGAAAATGCATTAGTTCTCAATACATACGAGGAATTCCTACTTGTTGTTTTCTTATTGCTGGACCAATGTTCAGTTTCTTATCTTTATAATTAAGTTTTTCAGCCTAGAATAAAAAAATTTTTTTTATTATTTTGGCACTACTGTTTTATAAAATCAATAGTGAAAAACTAGTGAGAAACATTTTTAAAATTCAGACTATAATAGTTTTGAAAGCAGCAAGGAATACTGGAAAGGACAAAGTCTTTGAATATTAAAGATATGGGTTTGAATCTTGGTTCCAATGCTTTGACCCTAGTTCTTTAATGGGAATACAGTCAAGCCTCTACTCATAGATCCCATATTTGGGAATTCACCTATTCGTTAAAATTATTTGTAACCCCCAAATCAATACTTGTAGCAATTTAGTGATTACTAGTGGACATAAGCAGAGAGGTGAAAATTTTTAATTGCCTGACATATATGGTCCCAGCTAAGGTCAAACAAGGGAATACTCTGTCCATTCTTGTTTCAGCTCTTACGGTGAAAACAAGAGTCTGTTTCATGTTCTGGTTAGTGCCATGTTTTTTGCTTTGTGTTTTATGTTGGTGATTTTGCTATCTTTTTTATTTTGCTATTTAAAATAGCCCTCAAGTGTGGTGCTGAGGTACAGGCTAGTATTCCCAAGCACAAGAAGAATGTCATTTGCCTTATGGAGAAAATATGTGTTACATGAATCTAATTCAGGCACGTGTTACATAATGCTGTTGAACAGGAGTTCCATGTTAATGAATCAACAATATATATTTAACATGAAGTCTTTAAACAGAAACACACATAAAACAAAGTTATGTATTAATTGGTTAATGCAAATAACGTACGGGTATCTGGGTGACTCAGTTGGTGAGGTGTCCAACTTCAGCTCAGGTCAGATCTCACAAGTTCGTGAGTTTAAGCCCCGCACTGACAGCTCAGAGCCTGCTTTAGATTCACTGTCTCCCTCTCTTTCTGCCCTTCCCCTGCTTGTGCTCTCTCAGAAATAAATAAACATTAAAAAAAAAAAAAAACAAAGAAGAAAATAATGTAACCAGAAACTTGTGGGAACCTAGTCTTGTATTTCTTCTAGGAACAGCAGTCCAATATTTGCCAATTCAGTGTTCATGGTGAATTTAAAGAACATAACTAGTATGAATAGTGGGGATCAGCTGCATGTGATTTAATATATAATTCAAACTATTTTTTTCCTTAAAAATTAACTAACATTTACCAAATTTAGTTATTACACTGAACTGCAGGCTATAGACTTTTTCTATGAATGTTCTTAGTTTATATAACGTTTTTCACAAGAGGGAAGTAATCTCAGATAATTTCACTCTAGTGTTGTAGTGTTTGTAGGAATTCAAAGTGCTATCAACTAACACTTGAGAAAAGATATATCCCCAAGTTCTTAGTTTAAGCAAATAAAGTAAAAAATTATATTACAGCTTGACAAACAAACGCATGCAATGATTTAGAATTTTTCTATTGATAAAAATCTATGCTTAATCTTTTTTAAAAAGATTTTTAAAAATATGTTTTTAAAAGTAATCTCTACACCCAACCTGGGGCTCAGACCTATAGACCTGAGGTCAAGAAATACATGCTCCACTGATTCAGCCAGCCAGGCACCCCTGTTTAATCTTAAAAAAAAGCCAACAACTTTTTTTTTTTTAATTTTAGAGAGAGAGAGAGAGAGAGAGAGAGAGAGAGCAAGAGTGTGTGAGCAGGGTAGTGGCCAGAAGGAGAGAGAGAGAATGGCAAGCAGGCTTCACGCTCAGTGTGGAGCCTGACACAGGGCTTGATCCCATGACCCTGGGATTATGACCTGAGCCAAAATCGAGAGTTGACCACTCAACTGACTGAGCCACCTAGGTGCCCTTAATCTTTTTTTAATTCAATTTTTTTGGAGACCAATGTTAGTCTTAAGATGCAAATAAGTTAAAAATTTTTTCTAGCAATTGATCATTGTACTGGAATGCTAATACTAAAACAAATATCCTAAAGGATTAGTTTCAAAAAAGGAAGTTGAATACAGTAAGAGATCTTACCTCTTGTAAAATTTTTTGTGCATCTTCTTGTGTTTCAAAAGTGATGAAACCATACCTAAAAAAAATGCATTAATTATTTTCTTTAGAACATTAGAGTTATACTAAGATTAATTTTTTTTCTTTTAAGCATGGGTCACTGTAGTAGTGAGCAGTTTTCTAAGGTGCCCAGCATGCAAAATTTAAGAGAATCATTCACAGCTTAACACTGTCACCTCCTCTTAGAGTCAGGACACTAAAAAAAAAAAAAAAAAAAAAAAACAACAAACCAGGATCTTCAAACAGTTTCATATCTGACTTGTATATAAATCAGGAAAGCATGAAAGATTCAAGTTCTGGCTTACAAATTAGGATGCAATAAATTTTGGTACAGAGACATAATCACCTTTTAAAATAATAGATGTTTGGCTTAAATAGGAATCAGAGTAGGGAAAAAAATTTCAACACAAAATTTTTTTAAATTGGTAAATGTTTATTTATATGGATGTATTATTATTAGCATATCTAAACTGATAATGCAATTACTAGTATTTCCCAAAGACAAATAAAAAATATGTACATCCCAGACTTTCTACCTGCTGTTTGCATGGATAATTGTTACCTCCAGAGTACAATTCATATAATATTCAAGATACAAATATATTTTGAATGCAATGTCCAAAAAGCCAAAACAGATAGACAAAATGATATGAAAGAGATAAAACAGTATATCCCCCTGCCAAGCATAATTTCTACTTAGGTAACTTAAGGAAACTAGAGTAGTGTTAAATATCTTGACTATTTTCTTCAATTCATAGTTACTGTATTATATAAAAAGTTTCTTCCTCTAACAAAGAATTTCTCTTTTTCTATTTGCCCAAACATTAAACAAGGATTAAGGAAATACTTTTACACTAAATTTTTGATAGAACACATACACCACCCAGTGGAAAAGGCATAAAATACAGTTTACATATCTATGTTTTTAGTGGTAAAAAGTGGATATTACCAAAATATTGCAAATTCTATTAACCAAATACAAGAGCTACAATCTCACTTCTTCCTAATACTATTTGTCAGTCTGAGAAGTATCTCATTTGTTTAAAAATAACATCTCTCCAGGAACCCATCTCTTCCAAAGTGCTCACTTGACATTCTTACAAGTTGCTTCCCTCTAGTAGAATTTTCTATCTACGTTGTTAGCCCTTTCTCTTATGTATGTCCTGCCTCTCTTTCAAGAAAATGGACATAATCCTTCACTGATCTCCACTGTCTTACCCATTTTTTTCCCATGGATATTTTATTTTATTTTTTTAAATTTTATTTTTTATTTTTAAAAATTTACAACCAAGTTCTGTCTTACCCATTTTAACTTTGCTATCAAACTTCTTAAGTAAGTACACTATGTAAACTACGTCTTCTCTGAGATTTGGCTTTTGTATAAACCAGTCCACTGCAATAGCTCTAAGGTCATTAGCCATTTCTAGACAAATCCTCCTGATTTCTTCCCAATTTTTATTCTCTTTGATTTGGCAATTAAAAATCATTCTCTTTAGAGTTATATTTCTCAGGTTAGTTCCTTATCTCTGTGTCTAAAGCAGGCACACAATTCCAAGAGCATCTGATTCCTTTAGCTTCTGGTTCCTTAGCTACTGGACATTAGTTACCCAACATTAAATGCTTGCTACATAACATTGAATAGTTCCTCAGCCAATGCAAGAATAGCTTCCTAACAAATTAAGGAATATTATAGTGTCCTCCCCCATGCCAAAATACACACACACACATACACACACACACACACACACACACACACACACACACACACACACACAATGCAGATTAAAGGCAAGAAGAAAGAAGAGAGCATGAAATTCTCTTTTTAAAAAATGGAATCAAAATAAGTTAGCATACCAAATCTAGTAAACCAATAAAAATACAATTGTTAATTCTATGTACTATCTATAGCAATACTAACCCTTTGGACACTCCAGCTCTGTCATTTACAATCTTAACTTCTTTCACAGACCCATACTGGGAAAAAAATTTTCTTAAATCATTTTCATTTGTCTAAAGGAAAATGAAAACACAAAAAATTGCTTTTAATAGCTTTTAATGGCTTTTAAAATATCCTCTAATTGCTAAAAAATGAAACAAGTCTTATGCTTGTTTTGGAGACAGAAAAGATTGTAAACAAATAGTAATATAAACGTAAGAATGCCTCTCAGCATAAAAACAGTATATAAAACCACTAAATTATTAAAACCAATGTAAATACATTGCTTTATGCAGTAACTATGATGTTAAACTATTATAATCAATGAAAAAAATTTAAGCTGAATTGCTTTAAAAACAAAAAGAAAGTTCACTCATATTTAAAGGAATTCTTGTTGGCTAGTTAAAAAAATAACGAATTAGGCACGGCTATAACTATAGTAAGGGCATATTACTATTGTTTTTTTGTGGCTCAGAGAGGCCCATGGTCATGGCAGTGGAACTAAGTTGTTGGTGTATACCAGTCCCTCTATTTTAATCAGCAGTCTCCAGGAACAGTAAGGTCTTAGGAAAGGAATACATTTCTAAAAGTACTTGAACTCAATTTGTGATGTCAATGAAGTAGCTACAAGATTTAGAGTTTTTAGATAGTTTATCTGTACTCAACATACATTTCAGCTAAATAATGACATCATAATATTCAAAATAAAAATCTGAATCATCATTGGACTATAATACACAAGATATCTACAAAGATGGTTTTAACTGCAGTAGTCTCATAATACAGTCATTTTATCTTTTCCTACAATATTCACACTAAATTCATTGTAATTTCATTTTCTGGTTCAGGTATAACTACCCCATGAAAACTTTAAATATCTTTAGAAAAGAATTTCTTTATATACACAGAAAAAGGCATGCCCAACAGCAGTGCTATGCCTCTTATATACATTATCAGGTTTTAGTTGGTAGCCTACAGCCTGGTAAATTGGATGATGACAAATACTGAGATAATCTTAAGAATAACTAAATGCCTCTTATTTCAATAAACTCAAATGGAACCAATGCCAGAAGAATTTCTGTTAGAGATTTGAAAACAATTCAAACTATTCTCTGATAGAAGAATCACTAGTTCAATTTTGCAGCTCTACTTCCTAGTTGAAAAATAAGGAGACAAAGTCAAGATGATTAAGTATCAAGAGGGATGGGCTATAAGCTTCCAAAAAGAAGAGTTTTAAAAAGTTTGACACTGTTTGCTACTACAGAAACCCATCCAGGAACCCATCTCTGGATGTTCATTTCCTTGTTTTCATTTGTCTATGGTTTTGGAAACGGTATAAGTATCAGGGAGGGAACCCTAGCCATTACCTTAAAGGTACAACTGTGTTCTAACAATGGCCTCTTAAGTTCATAACGTAGCTGATAAAATTCAATAACCTAGAATAGCCTAACCATATGAATATTTCCATTTATTGATAATTTATTTAAAAATATACTAAGTGTTTATGATATAAATTAATTCTGAACAAAAATACTCAACTCGAATATTTATGGTCAGCCGTTAATATTTTTCATAGAAACAGAAAATCTTTTTAAAAATTAGCATTTCATTATAAATCATTTTTATTCATGTTTAGTGAACCAATGACATACTTGCTTAAAAATCATTATTTTGACAAATACACAAATACAGTATGTGTATCATTTCTCTTGAGAAGAAAAAAAGTATTTTCATCCAAATTGCAAAAGACTGATTATAGGGAAATAGTGAGTAATAAATGTCAAATTTATTTGACACATCTTTGGCACAAAGATTTTTTTTAATTAAGAAAGACAACTATCCCTGTAATTTTCAATATATAATATGGAAACTTGGAAATCTTTCTACATATCCACTTAGAAGTAAGGATATTCCACTTAAAATAGCATGCAGACCTTTCCTATAGGTGTTTACTACTACCTCCCAAATGGGGGTGCTAAAACATCTCACAAACTAAGCTTCTCTGAAAGAGTAGAATGACTGATTACATTATTAAAGTGTATTAATGTTAAGATGTTTTATTCTGACATTTTTTTTTTGTGATCAGATTCTAAATTAGATGGTGGAAAGCAATTTTGATGCAAGTTTAGGAGGTTATTCAATAGGAACTTGAGAATAAAGTTGGGATAAAGAAACAAATTCATAGGACTAAATTTTGTGTTTTTTTAAAAAATTGCGTTTTTTTCGAAATTATTACCATGCATTACTTTTTTTTTTGGAGTATGACATAATAAAGTATAATTAGTGTGGTATGGTGAAATAAGGAATATGGAACTATGAGTCAAAATAGTGGGATTCTAGTCTTCACTCTGTCACGAAGCAGCTAGGAGCCTACAGATATATCAGTGAGCCTCAATTTCCTTGTATGGGAAATTACACATATTCTTTTTAACCAACACTGGTATTGAAAAGATTCTTTATAGTAAGATAATGTGAAACCTACTAATCATTATGGAAATAGCAATTGTTATTTTTGCAGTTGTACAAAAATTTTCTGAGAAATAAAATAACTTCTAATGCAAAAAATACACTATGTTACATGCATAAATAGGTACCTTAAAGTCAATTCCTCCTACAAAGATGCGATTAGGGATCACTGTTCCATATCTTGGGGCACTTGTTGGGTTATTCAAAGGCACAGGTGACACAGGATTAGGGGATGGAGATAATGAATCTGTTTGCGTCTGATTTGATGTTTGCTGTAAAATAAAATTCTATTAAACTTTTAGCATTGGGTAGAAGTTTGATGCAGGCTGAAAACAATATCTTTCAAAAAGATGAGTCATTTAGACAAATGTAATATTTTAGACTTTAATTTTAGTTTAATATTATGAAGATTATAATTAGAACTAATACTTTTTTTGGAGCAATAAAAATATGGGAAATGTAGAATCTACTCCACTACAGAGAAAATCTTAATTACTTAAAATGTTTCTGTGAATTATTATTAAATATACAATTTAAATCTTATAAATATTGAGGAATATTAAACTCAAAAAACAGAAAGAGAAAAGCAGCCCTGACAGCTGGGAACTGGCTTTGTTCTGGTGTTGTTAGGAGTTGGCCTCGAACTCACAGCTAGGCTATGGTTGTTCTCTTGTTAACAGGCATTAGGCAAAGTTACTCTGTGATTGTGATGGATCACAACAAAAATAAGACCATTCCATAACCATGTCTGAACTCTGACAAAAACAAAAGCATTGTCCAAACCATAAGAATGACCAAACAGCCCTCTATTCTGGCTGATATGTATAACTGCTCCATCTTTATCAATCACAGCTTTGGCTTCAATCTATTTTTCTTGCCTTCTAGATAAGAATTAGCAGAATTACTCCCACTTTCTGACAACATGCATCTCACAGTAAAGCCGTTCTTCCTTAAACCCTATCTAAAAAGAGCTTAACACAAGTCTAAATCCCATAGTAAGTTCTTTTCTAGCACCCTCTTACCAAAAGGCTCCATGGTGCATGCTCTTCCTTGTGGCAACAATTCAATACACCCAACTTTAGTGAACTACAGTATGTTCTTGGTAGTCTTTGGCTAAAGGGCACTGACAAAAATTCTGACATTCAAGTTCACTGTTTTTTAACTCTAAAGTCAAAGTTTTAAATGCACTTGTCAATTTGAAGATTGAACTGATTTTGTAAAGAAAAAAGAAATTTACATACCTATATCTCATAGGCATAAATTTTTATACCAAAGATTGAACTCAGTACATACATGTTCATAATTCTAAGTTAGGGGCCTAATTTAGATTCTAATAAACATATATTAACATATATGCCTTTGCATAATGGCAAGATGGTAAGCTCTTAACCTGCATCTGAAAAAAACAAGACTTGAGAATAGAATTTTGAAGAGAAACCAATTTAAGCACTTGCTAATTATTTTCGTTCTGGGAACATTAAACAGGCTTCTCAGACAGTCTAATGTACTAAATGAGTATGCTTCAAAAATCTTGGTTTCAGAATTTCAATTCTCTGAGAAACAAATACATGAAAATGAATTTCCAACATAGATAATGGAGTTGTTCTTTTTCATAGTTGCTCTCCTGTCTCACTTAATTGGCCAATAAAACCATGATCCCTAAGTCAATCCTTCAAGATATACAGAGAAATGACTAGGCCAGTAGTGACTACAGGGCTACAGGCTGGACCTCATTGCGTTCCATTCTGCATCTAGTGTTAAGGAGAAACAACACAAATTCCTAAAAAGGGAGTTCATAAAAACACCTATTAACCCACAGAAAAATCATCACATTTAATAACTGCTATGTTGTAGTTTCCAATTAAAGAAATTGGGGAACCAATCTTAACAGCATTCTCTCCGGGCATTTGGAGGTTATTTGTAACTTCAGTCACTTTACTTCTAGGATGTAGTGCAGAGAATGATGATTTTGGGATGCTTAGTTTTATTTTTCAACTGTGGATTTGCATTTCTAGAGATAATAGCATAGCTCTAGTAGATACAATCTTGTCTGTTTACAGATTGTAAAATTTTAAAAATCAGTCTTCATGAAATTTTCTTCTGAAAAACAAGTTCGACAGATGAATTCATTTGTTCTCCAATTTGTTTAAATAAAAGTCATTCCATTATTTTTCACAGAGAAAGGACATGAACAAAAGTGAACAGGTGCTTTATTTCCAATCTTGAGAAACTAGTTAGATGATACCGAGAAAGGAAAAACATCAACTTTTTATATCCTGTTCATTTCATTCTCATTTCTAAGGCTCCTGCTGTACTGTGGGTTCCTACTGCCTTATTTTTCTTCTTACCACTTATCACTTTCCAACATACTATATAGTTTACATATGTTTATTGCTTACCACTTTCCAATGTAGTGCAATGTTCATATGGGAAGGGATTTTGCCTATTTTGTTCACTGATCATTTAAAGTGGAGATGGTACATAGCAGGTGTTCAATAAATAATTTGTTGAACAAACGAATGAATCACTTCTCCCTGCTCATGATATCCCAACCATTAGGCAGAGGGTTTAAGAATACAATATGAAAAGAACCTAGAAAATATCTTAATGTTAGTAGTGACAAGGCTTAAGCAGAAATATCTCAATTCCTCAGAGAAGGTTGGCGATGCACTGAGCTAATAAAGCCTCAGATTCCACCGGTAATAATTTTGCAAATGTATGAAAAGCACTTAGGCAGGTGTTGTTAGATTAGAAGTAAGGGTTCTTAGTTTAGCAAAACTTTTAGCACTAAAGAGTTTATTAAAAATTTCCTTCAGAGTAATGTGCCCTCACTGCCTCCATCCCTTGAGAATTAACCTCGAAATCTATAATCCACTTTGCCAGCGAAGACAACGGGAAGAGGGCAGGCTAACCGTCGCAGTCAAGGCCTCGAAGCTCCTTCCCCTCCGAGGCCAGCAAGCTGAGGCGCTGGAGGATATGGCCGCTGCGACAATTTCCTCGGGTTCTCTCGGGTCATCGTGAACTTGGGCACTGACACGAGGATCCACCCCCTCCCCACCAAAGTGCGGGAGGGAAAAGAAGGCTAGCCAGCGAGAAATTTTGACCCGCAAACCCGCCAGAAGCAGTGGCTGGAACCCTCAACTGCACCGACGCGACGGGGGCCTCGAGCGTCGGCAACAACTCGGCACTCACGTGGCGCGCGCTGATTGGCTGCCAGAGGGGCGGGGGCGGGGCACAGTGGCACCTCAACCTCAGCGCCTCAGCTCCTCAGGCCTGCTTCGTCTCCTGCCCTTCCCCCACCCGGCCCTCAGCGTCTCGGGCGCACACCGGGTATTAAAGTGTCCGGGTCCGTCCAGGGCCACGGTGCCCCACCCCTCCCTCCAGGTCTCTCCGGCCTTCCGGTCCCCACTGACTAGCCAGGGAAAGGCGGTGTCAGCCGCCCTGGCAATCCCTTGCGGTGGGCGTCTGGGCGGAGTCCGGCCTGAGCAGGCGTCAAAGACGGTGCCGAGCCCGGTTTCGGCGGGAAAGCTGTTTTTCTAGCCCAGCCCCGCCTGTTGTACAGGACCCGGCCACCCGCCGCCTCCTGAAACCTTCCGGCCATTTCCGAAGTCCCCCAGCCAGCCTACACCCGGTCCTGGCCTGGTGGTCCCACCTTCCCGACCCCACGACCCGACCCGACGGGGCCTGGAGGGAGGCCGCTCTTCACGGTGGTCGATGGGGCATCCTGTCCACGTTTCTTTCCGAAAAAATAGAGGGCATTTGGGCCCTAGACTTCACAATTCCAGCCCCTCAGGAACGGAGTCCACGTTGCTCCTTCCCCTTGCTATCCCGGGGCCAGAGGCCCTGACTGCCGTACTCACCGCCCCGGACTCGGTCTCCATCTTCCTCTACGCTCTTCAGAACCCAGGGGAAAGGATCAGAAACCTGAAGTTTGAAAGCACCTTCACACCAAGGAAGCAACACCACGTTTCCCGACGGACACTCCCCCTGGCGGCGACGGCGGCAGTGGCAGCTGCAGGGGCGCAGGCTCGGACCCGGGACCTGAACCTGCCACCCGGTAGGGGGGGGTGGGGAGGAGCAGGCGACGTCGCCTCGGGCGGCGGGGCGGGAGGGCGCAGCAAGCCGGCGAGCGGCGCGGGCGGGCGGTTTCGGCTGTGGCCCGTAGTCGCGGAGCTGGGCCGTCTGGGGAGGGAAGAGCGTGCAGCAAGTCGGGGCGGACGTGTGGTGTGCAGACGAGGGCTCGGCTCTGGGGCCACTGTCGCCTGCTTTCGGACGGCTGGGGAGGAGAGAGCGAACGGTTATGCAAAGCACCATGCACCGCACACTTTCCTCTCTTCTCCCCTTTGGAGGAAAGTCGGCGTCTGGGACTGGTGGGTTTCGAGAGGTTGACGTGACCTCAGGCTTTACTAAGCAGCAAGAGGCCGGTTGAGGGGTGACTTCGGAAGGCTGGTGCAGGGCCAGGAGGACGGTTTCCAGAGTCAAACTCTGACCCCCCCGGGCCTGACGCGCCAAACTCGGGGACTCCCGAGAAGCCTGGGACTCCGCGCTGCACCTGTTGTCGCCGTCACTCATCCCCGCTAGCGGGCGGGGCGGCGCGGGCGGCTTGGCCGGGACCCGCCGCGCAGCCCAGTCTGGGCCTCGGCGCCCGTCACAGGCTGGCGCCCGGAGCAGCTCCCGCGGGCCCCTCGCGGCTGAGCACCGCCCGGCCGGCCGCAGCAACAGCCTTGAGAGCCGGTCTGCCACGAGGCCACCCGCTCGCCAGAGGGGGTGAGCACTGTGCGGCTTGACTGGAGCGGCTCCGGCGGCCTTGGGATAGCCTTTGAAAGAGTACTTTGTAAAAAATATCTGTGAAAGGTAGCTGAGAGTTCTGTATATCGCCGCTATAATACATAATGTAATATTATACACACATATATGGTATATAAATATATAATATATAAGCGGTATATAATATATAATCAAGTTGTAAATAATTACAACTAAGTAAACATGTAATAATGCTGATGATTATTGCACCTACCATTTATCAAGAATTCATTTTGTGCCAGTCACAGTGCTTTATAATCAATATCATTTCATTGTTCTCACAGAAACCCTTCAAATAGATACTACTGTATCTATAGATACAGAGCTAAAGCTATAAGAGATTTAACTATAAGAGCTAAAGAGCTAAAGCTCTTAAGAGCTAAAGCTATAAGAGATTTAACTGGGATCTCTCTGACGATTCATGAGCTTAACCATTAAAACAATGAAAAAAAATTTTTTTAATGTTTTATTTATTTTTGAGACAGAGAGAGACAGAGCATGAAAGGGGGAGGATCAGAGAGGGAGGGAGACACAGAATCCGAAGCGGGCTCCAGGCTCTGAGCTGTCAGCACAGAGCCCGACGCGGGGCTCGAACTCACGAACCATAAGATCGTGACCTGAACCGAAGTCGGATGCTCAACCGACTGAGCCACCCAGGCGCCCCTAAAATTTTTTTTTAAAAAAATATTTATTTATTCTTGAAGGAGAGAGAGAGCGAGCAGAGGAGGGAGACCCAGAATCTGAAGCAGGCTCCAACGCTCTGAGCTGTCAGCACAGAACCCAACTCCGGGCTTCAGCTCACGAGCAGTGAGATCTTGACCTGAGCCAGAGTCCGATGGTCGACTGACTGAGCCACCCAGGTGCCCCATGAGCTTAACCATTTTGACATGTGTTTTTACAAAGTTAGCCATAACAACTATTAAAAATGACATTAATAATAACTTTTGTACTCTCTGTTATAAAAGTTTGTGTTATTTTACTTTAAAGATAAACGTTCAAAAATATGCAGTATGACTTAATTTGTAATCTGTACAGAGATTAGCTCTTCATATTATTTACCAAAAATAAAATGGGAAGCATAATTTTTTCACTGAATACAGTTATTCAGTCATTAGTTTTGCATGCAATTTAAACTCATTTTAGGTTTTAGTTTCTGTGGAAACAGAAAAGACAAACCTATTCAAATTAATACTCATATTCTAGAGCAAAATAGTTTTGCTGTTCAATAACAGAACTGATTTTGGGTTTTTTTTTTTTTTCAATAGTAATGATGGGTGTGAGTAGTTATTACTATCCCCTCTTTTGCCCAAGTCTTTAATTGGCTGAAAACCCTTCCTTTTGAAGACTGTCTTCACCGTAAAAGGTGTTCAGTGTGTAATACACAAATTAATCAACACAATTTAGGGGATATTAACTGTATTTCAAGGCCCCTGTTAGGTACTAGGGGGATATACTGTATTTACAGTAGATAATTATTCTGCTTCTCTTTTCATTGTTAAAGCAAAAGGAATTTTTGGTTTTAAAATTTGGATAAATCATGTAAAAGTATACAATTCAACTAGTAGACATTATAGAGTTCCTATTGTGTGTAGGACCTAATATTAGGCTGTATGTTATGGGAGATAGGAGGATGAACAAGATCAAATCCTCATCTTGTGTGTTTTTCAATCTAGAAGGGGAGAAAAGACGTTGCTCAAAAATAGTAATGACACCTAAATGTGCTTATAATTAATAAGACATAAGCAGAACAGGATAAGTGATATATGAACTGTGATCAAAGATCTATGGGAGCATAGAGGACCATATAGTGGAGCACAATGTCCAGGGCTGGGTAAAAGCTCCATCAGAACTGATATTCTGGTCTGGGTGGGAAGGTGAAAGGAAAGATACTGAATCCCTGTCATCTATTCAGCATTAGGGTAGGCTAGGCACATTCTTTTTTAGTCTTTTTAGTTACCATTCTTGCTTGCTTTCTCTCTTTCTCTTTGGAAATCTAAGCCTTGGAAAGGTAAAAGTGACTCAGGTAGTTACATTGTTAGTAACTGGTAGATACAGTTTTCAAAACTTGGTTCTATTTGACTCCATTTGCCCATGCATAGTGTACTCTGCCATGTTATTTATACCGTGGTAATGACTTAGAATTTTATTCTGGAGACTTTGCAAATAAAGGGCCATTGAAGGTTGTTGAATCAGGAAGTTACAAAATCAGAGCCAAAATTTATATTCTCAGATTAGAGGAACAGTTTTTAAAAGACTGGAAACAGAATTGAGTCAGGTGCATACTACTCTAGTGAAAAATAATGGGGACCTAAACAAAAGTAGCAGCTCTGAGAATAAAATACTGGCAAAGGGTTAAGGAGAAACCAGAGAAGAACTGAAACTTGGACGTGGTGATGATGGGGAGGGGTTGGTGAGGATGGTTCAGAAGTTTCAAGTTTCAAATCCTGGAGATGTCATTGACAAAGATAAATATAAAAGTGCAACACATAACAAATTGCAAACCTAATATCCCATTTGCTTATATTTCCGGCCAGCATCCCAACATCTCTCATCTTTTTCTTTCACACAGTCTGCTAAAAGTATAGTTCCTGTTTCAGAGATTTACCCAAAGCTGCCTTCCCTCTTGCTTGCCTTCCATTACTGGCAGTTTTCCCATTACTGCCTCTTGAGTCTTCTAGCCACACATTCTAACTCCTAATATCTATTTTAGGCAGTCCTTTTCTCAATAACCCTTTGGATGTGTGCTCTAGCTTATAGGCCTAGATAACCATTTGTGGGCCTCCTGTGGACCAGGCTTTACCCTAAGGCAGGGTCTATGGCTACGATGAAGATGTGGTTCTTGCTCTCCAACAGCCTGTGGTCTAGTGCCAGAAGGAGCTAAGTAAATAGAAAGTTCATACATTCAATGTAGCAGTAGAAGAGTTGCCAAGAGCAGAGATAGCCCAGACCAGGAGTGACTTGGTAGAAAAACATGAAAAGTCATGTTTAGAAGATGTCTCTACTTCCATTTTATTTCTTTCTAGTTCCCAAGTCTATTAACCTGTTGTTGTGTTTTGGAGGATGATCAGATGCTTTCTTTTTCTCTGTGATGATTGGATATTTGAAATGGGAGAGGTGAGGGATAGGATGTTTATTTATTTATTTATTTTTTACTTTATTTTACTATTATTATTTTTTAGAGATAGAATTTTTAAAAATCTGCCTTAAGGAAGCAAAGAGTCCAGTGCAGATCTTCTTTTCCTTTACAGAGTGTAATACTTACATTTAGAGAGGGTGTTACAGAGCTAGTCTAGACTGAAACAGTAACTGATTTATTGAAAAATTCTTTATAAAATTCTTTTATTTGGTTATGCTGTTTACTTTGAGCAACTATTTAGATACAAGAGTATACAATATAGAATTGACTGTTCAAGATAAGGTAGGAGCTCAGTAAATAGTTATAAAATAAGAGACTAAATCAATAGGCAACCCTCTCTCCACTTTCCATTTTATCCCCACCCCTTACCATTTTACTCTTACTTCTGAAATAAGAGTAAAAAGCAATCATTGTCAGAGAATCTTTTTCTTGATCTACTTACACAAGTATGGTTTAATAATTCTGCACGTTTTCGGTTGCTTTTTAGGGGAAGACCTTGTGTTTGGAACATCCCACCTGCAAAATCCTTTGAATATTCACAGATAATCCTTAAGAGCAAATGATACACCATTTACAAAAATAAGACCTATGAAGTAAGACTTCAGTGTAAGAATGATTGTCCTGAACTTACTGTCCACTTGTAGATTCAGGCCTTTGCCTTGGCTTGCCCCTTTATTTTACCTTTACTTGCTCTCACCTTCTGACCACCAACTGCTGTTTTTTTTTTTTAACCTCTTTCCATTGTTATTTCATCCTTAGATTTTATCTTTCTGGGAGGAAAACATTTTCATCAACCCTTCTAGGGTCCCTGGCTGGGTCTGAAAATTAAACTGACAGTGATTAACAGGACAAAAGCATACAAATTTTACTGAATTTTTACATGTACATGGGGGTCTTCATGAGGGAAGGAAGACCTAAGAACTGGCCAGAGTAGGAAGC